CGCTAAATGTCGCAACGCTAACGCTGTATGTCGCAATCAACGCTATATGTCACAATCGCCTACCGCTAAATGTCGCAACGTTGCCGCTATATGTCGCACAAAAATTGATTGCCGCTAAATGTCGCAACCCCTTGACGCTAAATGTCGCACTTGGTAGGAAAGTAACAGATGGAAATGACACAAAAAGTTAGTGTTAAAACATTTAAAGTTTATACCATTTACACATGAAAATATATCCTAGTAACCAAACAAAAGTTGTATTTCGCGGTTTATGGCAAAAACCTTATATGGCCATAGAAATGGTTTTTGATTAAAAGGATGGATTTGGTTCTCAACCACGGACCAGGTGTGAGATCAAACTTACTCTTCGAGGATGTCTTTCTCACAAAATGCATCAACAAAAACATTTGGATATACATGTATATTTGTTATATTATTTGACATAACTGAGCAAACCGCTTGTTAATGCTAAGGGGGAACTATATCTTAACATTTTATGTTAATAGCTGTCATTATAAATGGTGGTCGAATAGCCCAGCTGTCTAGGTCATTCGAATTTGGTATTTGTCCAGAGCAGATATATACTTATGTCTTGAGTAATGAAATGGGAAACATCAGTGTGTTCTCTCTCCGTTATACGACAGGGGATACAACAATATTTTGATATCCGAAGTACTGTGTCCAATTTCTCATATTATACTGCGCTTTGTAGGAGCACATTTGTCTCGGAGCACATTTGTCTCACGAAGTGTGACCGATGTGTTTGTAAACAATCATTTTTGCGGCAAATTGGAAATGAGACAGATGTGTTCGACACACAATAGAAAGGACACTCGAAGCACATTTGTCTCACATTTTTCCATAAAATTCTTAAAAGGTAATAATTATGCCCGTCCGTTTACCGGCAACCAGCCATTGTTCAGTGTTTTCTGTATAAACCTTTTTTCAGGTCACTTCCGGTCAGTCAAAAACTTCCTGCCTCTGCATAGGAGTCATATATTAAATTAAATAATATCCCTGTTCTGTATGTCACAATGAAAATTTCTACAAGTGCAGCATCCAGAACCTAAACACATATGCAGCAAGTCTATTGTCATCGTTATCAATTGTGATACGTTTATTTTCAATGCTTAAAGTTTTAAAAATGATTTATGGCACTAGAAATATTCTTCGCAAAAACAAGGAAATATCTACGGTGGCATAAAGGGGACATACAATTTTCTTATTTATTACTTGCGCACACGATAGCTTTTACGTGGGCACGCGATACTATTACGTGCACACGCGATAGCTATGACTAGCGCATGCGGATATGTATTCCGCATTTGGACACTGACCGGGATCCTCGCAAATTTCGATGAATAGTTCGATGCCCCGTGTATATGTCGAACCTACAGCCGTTAAGGACAAGTGCTTTTTTTTAATCAATCGGCCACGGAGGCCCTTAAATGATCTATGGAAGAAATAAGAAGACCATTACACACATATTTTGTTTTCATCAGAAATATATGTATGTAAAAATCGTCATTTTTCAAGAATTGCAGCTTTCAGATCCGCCATTGAAAAAGCACTTACAACATGTATGAGTTCCTAAAATAATCCGGGTAATGCCATAATTATGAAATATCGGACGACTCAGAATCGTGCGAGACGCGACATTCCGATGAGACACGAAGCGAGGCACGATATTGTAACACGAGATCTCGCAATGTCGAATTATCCCGTACCACGAGATTTCAGAAATGAATAAACTTTTACTTCTTTAGATAGAGCAAGTATGAATTTATTAATATTCAAATAATAATTTCTGAGGAAGTTAGATGCTTGTAATCTAAAGAAATTCGCCATAAATGTGAAATAATGCGTCATAAAAAATGTAGTATTTTGACTTCAATACAAAATTCTAAATCACTTCAACAGTATAAACTTCAAAAAAGCAGCAGATGAAAAATGCTTTAGGTAATTAGCCAATGAGTAGCTTTTTGGAGCTATAAAAGTATACCAAAAATACAAAGCTTTTAAGGAATACAAATAAAAGCATTTCTAAGGCATAATGGGCCTTTAAGTGATTTTATGTAGACTATAAAGGGAATACTACTTTGCGGTATATGACCTGGAAACAGTTTCTTGTCTCGCGTCGACGAACTAGATGCGAAGCGAGATGCGAGATTTCGGCAAGATGCGAAACGAGTCACGATATAGTATCATTCAATATCAACCGAATACGGTGTTCCGTTTGAACATAAATAACATTTTGACTCCCTGAACAGCTATGCGCAATGGTACAAAGGTGAAATTGAGATGGTACGATGATTTAAACACGATGACACGATGGTGAAATCACGATGATGCGATGACACGCTAGAGAAAATAATATCGCGTTTTCATCATCATGCCATCGCAGTTTCATCATATCGTACCATCGTATTTTCGCCATCGTAACATCGTCTTTCACCATTTAATCATCACGTGTTCATCATCGAACCTTAGTTGTTTCACCATCGTACAATCGTTGTTTCACCATCGTACAGTCGTTGTTTCACGTTCGTACCATTATGTTTTTATCATCGCACCATCGCGTTTTCATCAACTAACATCGTGCCACCGCGCTGTCACCATTGTACCATCTTGAACGGGATTTAGTTAGATTTTGTTAAGCCTCGTTTTTTCTCCGTTACATGGATACTTTTGAAATGGTTTGATATTGTACCTTCATTTTTACTTCAACATGGTTTCGTTTGTGGCGTTTTCATAATAAAGTATCATTTTCATTTTTATAATGATACATTTGCCTTGTTTTACCATTACATGAAATACTTTTGTAAAGTTTTCCTTATTGCAGCCTGGTTTTTAGTGTCACATTTCCTTATTGTAGCCTCGTTTTCATTATAATAGGGTTACTATAGTCTCTTTTCCTGCGTTTAACTGAAACGCGAATACGTTAGTAACTTTTCCGTTTACACTGTAACGCGGATATGTTTGTGACGTTTCCTTACTGTTGCCTTGTTTTCACTGTAACGCTGATACGTTTGTCACGTTTCCTTACTGTAGCCTCGTTTTAACTGTAACGCGGATACGTTTGTCACGTTTCCTTACTGTTGCCTTGTTTTCACTGTAACGCGGATACGTTTGTGACGTTTCCTTACTGCTGCTTCATTTTCACTGTAACGCGGATACGTTTGTGATGTTTCCTTACTGTAGCCTCGTTTTCCCTGTAACGCCAATACGTTTGTGATGTTTCCTTACTGTTGCCTCGTTTTCACTGTAACGCGGATACGTTTGTGACGTTTCCTTACTGTAGCCTCTTTTTCATTGTTACATGGTTACGTTTGTGACGTTTGTTACTGTAGCCTCGTTTCCATTGTTATATGGTTACGTTTTATGACATTTTTTTACTGTAGCCTCGTTTTCATTGTTACATGGTTACGTTTGTGACGTTTCTTTATTGTAGCCTCGTTTTCATTGTTACATGGTTACGTTTGTGACGTTTCTTTACAATAGCCTCGTTTTCACTGTTACATGGTTACGTTTGTGACGTTTCTTTACTGTAGCCTCGTTTTCATTGTTACATGGTTACGTTTGTGACGTTTCTTTACTGTAGCCTCGTTTTCATTGTTACATGGTTACGTTTGTGACGTTTCTTTAATGTAGCCTCGTTATGGTTACGTTTGTGACGTTTACCTTCTGTTGCCTCGTTCTCATCGTAACATGGTAACGTATATGACGTTTTCTCCCTGTAAAGCACGTTTTCACTATTACATGGATTCGTTTGTGACGTTTCTTTAATGTAGCCTCGTTTTCATAGTTACGTTTGTCACGTTTCCTTTACGTGGCCTTGTTTGTATCGCAATATGGTTACGTTTGTGACATTTTGTAATTACATGTATATCCTCGTTTTGATCGAAACAAGGACACGTTTGTGAATTGTTACTCTATTTCCTGATTTACATGAACACGAACACGTTTATGACATTAAATTATTATCTCATATTCTCCCTTATATGTTTTATCCTCTTTTTCCTCGTAACACTGATACATTTGTTATCTTAATGTATCGTAGTCTCATTTTAACCATGGTTTCATTTTTGATGTTTCTAAATTATTTCGAAGCAGAGTTGTTCGTTCCTCACATATATCACATCTGCAATATGCTGAATGACAAGAATCTTGTCAAAACGTAACAATTTTTTAACACTTTGACTTTAAATATAAGACCATAGATAAAATGCACAAATAGAAGCACGTTGTAAAGATATGATAAATTTTATCATCATTTTTATTGGAACTTTTGTCATGTCCAAGTATGCAGATGATGTCATCACGAAGATGCAAACAAAAAACTTGAAAGTGATAATTTTAATATGTGGTAGAAACATTCCTGTTTGGACCTCTGTCAGTTTGGAGGCAGTTGCCTTATTCTGGCGATATAAATCGCAAAATTATTCATTTCCAAAATGTTAACATACGAGTATGTCAGTGCGGTTTTGGGACTACTTTCTGAGCCAACTATACTAAAGCGAATGTATTAGATTATATTTTTCTTATAAGTTTCGTTTTCATCGTTACTTAGATATGTTTGTTACGCGTTTTGTTAAAGTCTAATAGATTCTAGTACATTTGTTACGTTTTGTAATTGTAGTCTCGTTTGCATTGTAACATGCCGTTTGTGAAGTTTTATTGTTGTTTTCTTGTTATTATCGTAACATAGTTACGTTTGTAACATCTTCCCGTAGTTTCATTTTCAATGTTACATATATACGTTTGTGACGTTTTCTTATTGTAGCCTCGTTTTTATTGTTATTGAAACATGCTCACGTTTTTGACGTTTTGATATTGTAGCCTCGTCTTAAAACTGACATGGTTACATTTGTGACGTTTTCTTATTGTTGCCTCGTTTTCGTCGTTACACGGTTGTGTTTGGGACGTTTTTTTCTTAAGCCTCATTTTCTGTTTCATAGATACGTTTGTGACGTTTTCTTACTGTCGCCTCGTTTCCAGCTCTAAGTTTGCGTAGCATCGCTTTCATCGAAACAGGGTTTGTTTAAGTCACGTTTTCATCAGAAAACGAATGCGTTTGTGAATGGTAATATTATGTTCACGTTTACATATATTAAGTTGTTGTCTTATTATCACCCTTTGATGATTATATAACGTCAAATTGGATGTATAATTCAATCGATATTTGAATTATTCTTAATTTGTCGCACACAAGAAAAATGAACATTCGGTTCATGCTTATTGAATTATCATTATTAATATACATCTAGATATGTAATACATACGATCTTATGTCTGGTTGCTTTTGGACATATTATGACATAATTCATGGATGATATTCAAGTGTTTTCTATGAATACAGGATTATTTTCAGCTAGTGACAAGACAATAATTATTTTATGAGTGGCGGTAGCCATGAATGAAATATGATAATTTCCATACAACAAGATGATAATAAATCCTGTATTTATAGAAAAAAAACTTGAATTGTCTGTTTATCATATAGATTTCTCTTTTCTTTTTTTCTTTTTTTTTGACATTAGAATTTGAAAGAATTCTCCTTAAATTATGTGTATTGTCTGAATTTAGAAGAAAGTAGTCCGGCAAGACAGCAGTGAAAATACGGAAAATATATTTCACTACAGTGAAAAAAAACTTTTACAGTGAAAATACTAAAATTGAAAATATGCATTTTATTTCATCAGTATTTCTCAATATTTCACTTATAAGTATATGATAAAACAATTTCTTTTTGGCTTGATTTTTAGTTTCTGTATTTCTTCATTGGTCAGCCTATAACCTCTATATGGAAACGGATAAAAGAATACCTCTATTTATTTATTTTTATTCATTTTTCTATTTATTTATTTATCTAATTGTTGTTGTTGTTGTTGTTTTCTAGTGGGGATGTAAGCAGTTGACAGTATGCAATTGACAGTAAGCAGTTGACAGTAAGCAGTAGGCAGTTAACAGTAGGCAGTAGTTAGTCAGAAGTAGACAGTAAGCAGTCAACAGTTGGCTGTCGTTTATGGAATTTCATGTTATAGTCCATGCATTTATTAATTTATCAGTGAATTCCTTTAAATGTTGTTCTAAGAATATATATATATACCTGTAAACTATAAAAGTAAATTAGGAGGCAGAAAAATATCAAGGGTCCAACCGGGTTTTGAACCACAGACCTCTTGGTCCGTAGACGGACACCTCAACCACGTCGTTAAAGGGTTAATCTAACAGCAAGGCTGATGAAAGTGGCCTTTATACCTACAACCACTACAATCCTCCACTCTTTACTTTTCAGAGCTAGCTCTCCTGAATGTCACTCCCTGCTTACCGCATGAGTCCATCAAACACTTCTGACACCATTTAAGTAAATAAGGAGGCAGAAAAATACCAAGGGTTATACCGGGTTTGGAACAACAGACCTCTTGGTCCGTAGGCAGACACCTCAACCACATCGCTAAAGGGTTTACCCAACAGCAAGGCTGTTGGAAGTGGCCTATATACCACTGCACTATATTGTGCATGACCTTCAGAACGGCAACTTTTTCGGCAACTGAATAATTTTTTGACCAATACAGTTGTAATAGGTCGTCCATTTTTATTTTAATGCTATAAGCAGTGAATAAAAAGTAGTAAGCCGTAAGCAGTTGACAGTAAGCAGTTGACATTAGACATTAGTAAGCAGTAGGCAGTCAACATTTGGCAATTCCATAGTATATTGATTCATTAATGTTCCCAAAGAAATATTGAGATAAATATAAAAAGTTATGATATAACAATTCTGTCATAAACCTAAATCAATACACCGCATAGTTACGAATATCGATCAACAGATCAATTGGGTATTATTTGATACTTACATGTAGTAAAGTCTATCTAGTCAGATTATGAACAGGTATAATATAAAATATATATTAAGATATAGTTCCCCCTTAGCATTAACAAGCGGTTTGCTCAGTTATGTCAAATAGTATATTAACAAATATACATGTATATATCCAAATGATTTTGTTGATGCATTTTGTGAGAAAGACATCCTCAAAGAGAAAGTTTGATCTCACACCTGGTCCGTGGTTGAGAACCAAATCCAACCCTTTTATCAAAAACAGTTTCTATTGACATATAAGGTTTTTGCCATAAACCGCGAAATACAACTTTTGTTTGGTTACTAGGATATGTTTTCATGTGTAAATGGTATAAACTTTAAATGTTTTAACACTTACTTTTTGTTTCAGTTCCATCTGTTACTTTCCTACCAAGTGCGACATTTAGCGTCAAGGGGTTGCGACATTTAGCGGCAATCGATTTTTGTGCGACATATAGCGGCAACGTTGCGACATTTAGCGGTAGGCGATTGCGACATATAGCGTTGATTGCGACATATAGCGTCAGCGTTGCGACATTTAGCGTTAGTTGCGACATATAGCGTTAGTTGCGACATATAGCGGCGTTGCGACATATAGCGTTGCTACAACGACGCATCAAGCTATCAACAAATATAGAAACCAGGAGAGCTTTATTCCTCGAAAGTGAAACGAATTTAGCTCCCAATTTATATAAAGCTCCATATATGTATATTATGTCAATGATAAAGTATAATTATCATCCTCATAATCTTTTAACCTTTTTAAGTACATCAACATCATCATAAGTACGTCATCATCAGTATTTCATCATCATCATATTTACATAAAGTATAATCATCATCCTCATAATCTTTTAACCTTTTTAGGTACATCAACATCATCATAAGTACGCAATTATCAGTATTTCATCATCTTCATAATTTACATTAGAACATCAACATGTGGTAATACTCGTTACCAACAACATCACCATTATCACCACTTTAAATACATCCTAATCATCATCAGAACCTCATTATCACAATCATTTTCATTAATCCAACATGATCATCATTCATCTTCATCATCATTCCCATCAATTCAAAACTAAGGGCCTCATATTTAAGCCAGTCATCATAAACATATTTATTTCTATGAAATACTTGAAAATATAAGTTTGAAAAGAAAATAATTCCTATCACATTTTTAAAACATAGTGAAATAAATAATTTTACGTTTTCTACAGTAACTATTAAATGAAAATTTAATCAGAAATAGAATTATTTAGCAATGATAATGATGATATAGTAGATTATTTTGAATTTGATGGTGATGGAGGTGATCATGATTTAATGATGATAATGTGAATAATTCTGCTGATTATTTTAATATATTGCATGATGATAATGGGTTTGATGATGTAAATCATGATTGAGTCAATGTCGATTTTGACGATGAATAACGTGATGATAATTTAAGTAATGACGATAATGACGGAGATTGTGATAATTGTGATTCTGATGATATGACGATGATGATGATGATGATGATAAAATGCTGACGATTTTGTTGACTGTGGATATGATTTCCACCTGATTTAAACGTGAAAAAAGTCCCACACGAGTGTTGAAGTGTACAATTTTTGTTAGTTGTGGATGCATACATTTACACACTCATAAAATAAATTGATTCTGGACAATTCAGTTTTCTGAACAATCAGTATGGCACGTAATACAAAATTTATGATACATCTTCTATGACTATCATTCAAACTGGTGGTCACCCTTACACTTGAATTGTAGTTTAGTGTATAGTACGGAATTATATCTGAATTATACATATAGAGGCATCTCCAATCTTCTTTTATTCATTTGTCAGTAAAATGTAATTATCTATCAAATGATATTACATATCAATTATAATTTAATAATGATTAAGAAATATTTCTCTATATTCTATTACGTTTTTGTCAAATAAATATTGTATAGAAATTGTTGGGTTTCAAAATGTGAGGTTTGTTATGAGGCTGGAAAGTAGTATGATATCATATATCATATAATTTGAGAATGAACTGATTAAGAGAAACTGAAAGTCTTATAATACGAGGGGTGTTCAAATATGAATGCAACTAGGCCAATATCTCGCTTTTAACCAGGTTTTGCACGAACTATGTACATGTATCGCATAGATGGCTGTGTAAGCTCTCAATTGATACAATACATGACTGTGTAAATCAGTTCAGTGTAGCTTTGACAAAAGCTCGATTTATGCTTTCTACTCCTGTATACTAAAGGAAAGGTCTCATTTCACTGACAAATTACGGTCCTATATAAAGAACCGCTGTATTATTGGTAAACAGGCGAAAGACACATTTTATAAAATATGTCGTGCTTATGGGAACAATAAACTTTCTTTTTCATCTGTCACCCGGTGGAATAAGAAATTTAAAAGTAGTTTGGATTCAGTAAAAGTTGCACCTCATGCACGCCGTCCGAAAACTACAACTTCACCAAAATTGGTTGAAAAAATAAAGGATTTGATTGCTACTGATGTAATATTTACAACTAGATATATACAAGTAGCTAAATTCGTTAGTATCTCTGTAGAAGCCGCTCACAAATTTGCAGACGTGGTTTAAAAATGAGAAGGATAAGTGCAAGATATATCATCTCCTTACAAAAGAGCATACACTTTCTCGGGTAAGAATCTCCAAACAAACGTTGAAACAGTTCCCTGAATACAACAATCGATTTTTCGCAAATATCATCACTGAAGATGAGACGTGGGTTCACTTTCATGAGCCCCAAGCGAAAGATAAAATATGGGCAACCAAAAGAGTCAAAACCCTTGCATAGAAAAACGCACCATGAGAGTAAAAAAACCATGAATGTAATTTTTCTTCACCAATCAAGGTTCTGCTATTAAAATTGCCGTACCAAAAGGTAAATCTGTAAATGCCAAGTTTTACAAAGGCAAGTCTTTCATAACTTTAAGAAATATTTCTATAGCGTCGACCAGTAACTGGTCTCCACGGTGTCAGGTTGTTGCATGACAAGGCTTTGTCGCGAAAGCGGCCATTGTACGAGAATATCTGAAACAGGAAAAGGTTGTCGAGCTTCCTAACCATCCTTATTCGACAGATCTTGCCCCTTGTGACTTTTCCCTATTTTCGATGCTCAAAGACATCTTGCTGGAAGAAAACATCAAATGCGAAACAATCTCGGTTCGGCTATTTTCCAGGGTCTGAACGGTATACCTCGAAAGATTTACAAATTGGATTAAAACACTAAAACTTTGTATATCACATGTTGGTGAGTATTTGGTAGGAGAATGATTGAGATAATTATTACATGGCACTGTTTGTTTAGCACTTCTGAAAATTTACCCAGTTGCATTCATATCTGAAAATCCCTCGCAAACAATTATGCATGTTTGCGTTTACGAGTACATTGGGAATAACATAACGTAAAACAAATGATGTGTTTCCATTCACGGCCTTTAAGCAGGACTACTAATTTAACGTTTATCTTTTTGTTCGCGTATACCTAATAGTTTATTGAATATATAATTTGAGAATTGAATTTCTCTTTTGTTTATATGTACAAATGCAGACGAACTTGTTTTATATTTTAATATTTATCTTGATCTTATTACTTCAGATGAGTAAAATAAATAGTAAACTATCATGAAGAATATATTCTATAGTTAAATAAAAGTATGATTATTCGCGATCTAGGAATAACACTTAACCTTATGGGGTAAGAAAATTTCCTGCATGGATTGAAAATTTGTAGTTTGTATCTGCGGATATTTCATACTTAGGTCTTAGGTTAAATCACTAGATATGTTTAATTAAAATACCTGTATGTACTCGTACCATTATAAATTTTCTTTTAGGATTTCATTAAAAGCAATACAAATCTGAAGGCGTAATGATTCGAATGTAAACTCTCAATAAATTATGAACACTGGACATATTGAACATATCAAACGTTTTCAGGAATTTTTTATTAAGAGAAATGACATTTTATTTCTCTTATGAAATAGTTATTAACTTCTGAGAATCCAATTATTTCAATAGTCAAATAATGAATTACAAATATAGCCATTCATGAACAATTAATAACCTAACAAACCATTGACAGATGACTGAATGACGACAAGCTGCGAAGATCTTTGAAACGAAATTAAAGTCATTTATTGAACGAAGCTAATTTGAAGCGTTATGAAGTCATTTGTGTTGCAAAATGTTATACTGGAAAGCCTATCTTTGTACATGTAGCATCTATTAGATATATTTAAATACAAGCTTCTCTGAAGATAAATGCAATGTCAAATAATTATATCTATTGATTTCACAGTGACAATATCTAGGAAAACAATGGAAGACTTTGGAAAATGACATATAAGTACATATCAAAAATACATGAAAATAATAACAAAAATATACTCATATAGATCTACTCCATCTATAGTAAAACTATTGCAAGTAAAATGATTGTAAACAAAAACATTTCACACTTCGTGTCAAATTGTGTCCATGAATTACATTAAAGACGACTTTACGGAAACGCAAAAATGGCACTGTTTTGTCATAAATATTTTTGTCCAATATTATACCAAATATACATACTTGTAAGCACCAGCTTAAGAAAGCAAGCCCAACAATGTTACGTGGCAAACATCAATTAAAACTATAGAAACATTAACTCAATGCAACATGTGTCTACTTTACAAGTACAAATAATCTCTATTACTAAGATAATTAGTATTAGATAGATAAGTCAAAATACTACTTTGTGTACATATTGCTACCTTTACGACACATTACTGCATTTCTTCCAGTGCTGATTTCTTCAGTTGCTAAACGCTTAAAATATAGTCATCACTATTTATTTTGTAAGCATCTCTTAAACGCTAATTGTTTCATTTGATAAATTTTGAAAAAAAATGCATTCTTTATAATTATGTTCATCATTTTCATCATTCAATATCATTTGAGTATATCACTTTATTTGTTTTAAGATACTGCGTTATTTTGACTTTAATGAACATAAAGATAATTTTAGTGATGATGTTAAAGAAGGTTGTGATAGTTCTGATATAGATTATATGATGATGATAAGGTGGTGACTTCTTTGTTTATGGCGGAGGTGATCATGATTATAATAATTTATTTTGATGATAATAATTATTATGGTAATGATGATTGAGGTGATTAATATAATCCTGGGTGGCTTTATTTGTTTGTATCATACAAATATAGCTTTTGAGAACAACATGATTTTGTATAACAAAATAGAATTGACTAGATAGACTAGTCACCAGTGTGCCCCATATACAAATGATAAAATGTTAATGATGATGATTATTACTACAACTTGTCGCCATTGAAACTGGAGCACTCGGGTTGTTTGAGTTTGTTCAATGACGTCAGTTTTTATTACAAGTCACTGTCTAAACCCCACAGTTTATATTTTTGTTATATTAGGGTACTAAATAATATTAATACTAAATAATTTCAAATGTACTACCAAGCAGCTCTTTTTATTTTACAATGAATAAATGATACATAT